TTCTCTCACAATTTAGCGAGTCTAGCTTATATGAACACCTGGCCAAAGAGTTTCTTAGTCTAGCTGCCAGTGCTTTGTTCCTATTCCTGTAGGAAACCTAGAGAAGACACACCAAAGCTGTGTGCCAGGAAGCTGTTTTATTGGATACATGCAATAAGGCTCAGAGGACAATAGTCCAAAAATAGGTTGACCCTCCTAATATCCTGAGATTGGGATTTTTATACATGTAAGATTTGTGTAGTTTTTCTATATAACTACACACTAAAACATGAGTGTTTTAAACTACTAGACAGTGATGGTTAGAATGAGAGGGAAAGGAGGAGAGAAGGGGCTCCAGGGGAAATATATGGTCAGTCTTTATGCATGAGAGTACATGGGCTGGACCTTGACCAGTCCAAATGGCTGTTTCTTGTTGCTCTTTCTCTCAGTCCTCTAGGGCTTCTTCTTCCCCCTACCACACTATGACTATTAATTTCTGCCCATTAGGTGAAACCTGTTGAAGTACAGTCCAAGACTGTCAGAGGGTCCAGTAGGAAGGTTTATGTATAGTGTGTGTGTGTGTGTGTGTGTGTGTGTGTGTGTGTGTGTGTATGAACATTCATGTGAATAAAGGTAAGCACATATCATGACTCAAGTGGAGGCCAGTCAAAAAATTCAGGTGTTGGCCTTCACCTTCCAACTTGGAGGGTCCCTTTGTTGTCTGCCTCTGCATATGCCATGCTAGCTGGATTAGGAACTTCTTGGGGATTCTCGTCTGTCTCTTCCTCACATCTTGCCTTGAAAGCACTGGGATTACACATGTGTGATAGCATTCAGTTTTAAGTAGGTTCTGGGTACTTGAACGAAGGTCTTCACGCTTATGTGGCAAGTGCCTTTATTACCCACCAACCCATCTTCCCAGCTCCAGATGAGATATATTTTGTCTGATCTTCACAAGTTTACTTTGTCTGCTCACAGGAGATTTTATTTTCTGTGCAGGTTTGTGGCTGGAATCCAGGAAGGCTACAGTACTAGTTTCCCAAAAAGCAGTGTCGTTTGTTACAGATGCCAACATGCAACAAAAGACTGCTCTGAATTTGACTTCCCTTGGGCCTTCCAACAATTTCCCCTCCACCTTCTCTCCTTTGTTTGCAAAAGTGCAAAGATATGCTGAAAGCAAAACCTTTCCCTGGGCCCAGTCCCTCACTGTAGCTGTCCTCCTATTTCCTGCCTTCCCCTCGTGGTCAAAGCCCCTGGATAGTAGTCTGTAAACCCACTCATGGCTTTAGCTTTTGAATCTTGGCATCTCTCCTCATCATCCTACTGAGAACTGTTCTCTATAAGGTCAGGGAAGCTGTTTGTCAAATACACTGACCTTTTCAAGGTTCTAATCTTCGCAATCTGCATACTTAATACTATTTTGGGAACCATGTACTCAAGGCTCACCACACAAGCAGCTTCCAGAATGTAGCACATCCTTCAATGTCCACCTTTCTATTTATTCCTTTTTCTCTGCCGGCAGTTTTCTTTCTTTCCCACTTCTGGGACTTCCACTGTAACTACTCTGTAGATACCTCTGCTGTTTGTGTCCAGGATCAGCCTGGTGTATTTCCTAGCCTCTAATAAACCCCTGCTGCACTCTTCTGAGGGCTGCATCTGTAGACAACTGATTTGAGGAGGGCATCTCATGGCATCTAGTTCCTCCTGTGAATTCCAGTGTTGTTCATACCACAGTCATGCGTGGTCCTCTGACTTCTGATTCTTTCTATTGCCCCAGTTTCAGGTACTGGGAAACCATAAATAGAATAGTTCTTAACAGAAAACCTTTTTCCAGTGAGCCTCATCACTGTATTCCACTTCTGTCCCTCCTTTTCCACTCCCAAGGCTACTCAGGTCCTTGTCACTCAATTGTTTTTTCCTGTCCCCATTTCTACAGTTCCCCCCTCATTTTTATCACAGACTTTCCAGGAAGGTAGTTCTCATGTGGCACCTTATCATGCAAAAACCCTTTTGTTGGCTACTAAAAAATATTTTAACCTGGGCATGGTGGTGCATGCTTTAATCCTAGCCCTTGGGAGGCAAAGGCAGGCCCCTGTGAGTTAAAGAGCCAGTCTGGTCTAAACAGCAAATTCTAGATCAGTCAGGGCTACAATTCCAGACCCTGTCACAGAACAAAAAAATATTTTATTTCTAATTATGTGTGTGGGCATGTGCACATGAATGCAGGTGTTCCTGGAGTCCAGAAGGCATAGGATCCTCTAGAGCTGGAGTTGCAGGTGGTTGTGAGCTGCCCAACATGTGTGCTGGGAACTGGACTCAGCCCTTTTAACTTTGGAGCCACCTCTCCAGTCCAGGCTTTCTACTATTAATAGAATTAAGTAGAAATCCTCAAATGGAAAACAAGACAGAAAACAAATGGAAAACATGGTAGGATTGTATTTTCTACAGGTAGCTCAGAAACACCTAACAGGAAAGATACAGCAAACAATATTGGCCCTATTAATTACCAAGGTGGCTCTAAGAAATATATCACTTCATTCTTTAAATGGATTATTTCTCAAACCACAAATACATCTAAGAAAATGGTAGTTTGATCTTTGCCAAATAGCACCAATCAAGGTTTTGGGTTTTTTTGTTTTGTTTTGTTTTTTGAGACAGGGTTTCTCTGTGTAGCTTTGGAGCCTATCCTGGCACTCGCTCTGTAGACCAGGCTGGCCTCAAACTCACAGAGATCCTCCTGCCTCTGCCTCCCGAGTGCTGGGATTAAAGGCATGCACCATCACCACCTGGTTCCAAGACCAAGTCAGTTATTCTGTTTGTTAGCATGTTAAATTGCTTAGTATCTATAGATACTAAGTGCAGACTTTGGGGGTAGGAGTCCATCAGTAGTTTTCAAACCTGGATGCACATTAGAGTAGCTGAAGGATGTTTAAGACCTATCTATGCCCAGATTCTCCTATTAGGGAGCCTCTCAATCAGTCTCAACAGGTAGAGCCCAACATCCATGTTTAAAAAGTTGCACTACTGATTCTAATGCGTTGTCAGGGTTGAAAACTAATAATTCCCCTTTGTGCATGTTCTGTGGGTGTGTGCAGGCCTTGGGGCAAAGGTCAATCTTAGATGCTCTCTTCAGTAACATCCACTTTAGTGTTTTGAGACAAGGTTTCTCACTGGCCTGGAAGAAGTTTTGACTGGCTGGCAATGGGAGCCCAGAGATTTTCCTGTCTCCTCCTTTCTGGCATGCTCTACTACACTAGACTTTCTTCTGTGGATTCAGGGGCCTGAACTCTTAAGCACTTTACGTACTGATCGACCTCCTCAGTTCTAGATTTCTATCAAGTATCTTTTCCCCCCCTTAATTTCAAGTGGTTTTTTTTTTTTTTTTTTTTTTTTTTTTTTTTTGAAAGGGTTTCTCTGTGTAGCTTTGGAGGCTTTCCTGGAGCTCGCTCTTGGAGACCAGACTGGTCTCGAACTCACAGAGATCCACCTGCCCCAGCCTCCCAAATGCTGGGACTAAAGGTGTGTGCCACCACTGTCCTGCTATAGTTGCCTTCCTTATTTTGTGTGCTTATTCCTTGGTGCACAGATTTTTCAATAGACATTTACTAAATTTAATTATAAAGCTTCCTCCAAATCATAGTGCTTTCTTGTACTACTATAACAAGATAACATCCAACTCATCATGTGATCTATGCTCAAAACTGTGAAGCTTTGATTCAGAAAGGGGAAGCTGGAATTATTCAGAAGCGCTTAAAGAAAATGTTTCCAAAGTGTTAGTTGTACTATTGTTCTTACATAATAATGTGGTATGATTCTATAAATAAGTTAATTATATCCTCAATAATGTGTTGTTTTATAGGCAAAAGGCTATTTCCGTTTAAACTGAATTTATGTTCTTGAGCAAGAGGGAGGTTGTTGAAGGCCTCTACCTCATAGCAATGGCTATGGAGAGGAAACACACTAATGGTTGTGGAAGATGTTGGTGAGGGGAAGCTATACAAGATGTTATTCTTCACTGACCACTGTGCAGCTGTACATATATCTTACAGCATTTTATGCAAAGAACTCAGAATACCACAGACAGCTTTACAAAGTGAGTTCCTACCCAAGTTTAGAAACATCAAACTTCAAGTAACATGGTCATCCTTTTCTTGTACCTGTAATATCCAACACAACTACTGAACGCCATCCCAGAGTGCTGTAATGTTCCTTCAGCTCCTTTCTTTCCTTTTTTCTTCCTTCCTTTCCTTCTTTTTTCGAGACAGGGTTTCTCTGTGTAGCTTTGGAGCCTATCCTGGCACTGGCTCTGGAGACCAGGCTGGCCTCGAACTCACAGAGATCCGCCTGCCGCTGCCTCCCGAGTGCTGGGATTAAAGGCGTGAGCCACCAACGCCCGGATAAACATTTTTATTTTTAATTATGTGTGTGTGGCCACTGAAGTAGCTGCTGGGAACTGAACTTAGGTTCTTTGAAAGAGCATAAAGTGCTCTTAATTGCTTGCCATTTCTCCAGTCTCCATATTATTATTATTATTATTCAAATTACATTTGCTTATTGTGTGTGTGGATCAGAGAACAACTTCTGGGAGTTCTCTTGTTCCACCATGTAGGTAGTGGGGATGGAACTCAGGTGGTCAAGCTTGGTACCTTTACCCATTGAACCATCCTCAACACATTACTTCTAAAGCAATTTACACTTTGAAAAAGTTTACGTATAAAAGGGTGGTGACAGACCTTAAGTCCAGCACTCGGGAAGCTGAGGCAGAAAGATTACTAGGAGGTGCAGACCAGCTTTAGAGACCGAATGAGAGCCTGTTTCAAAATACTGAAATTTAAAAACAGAAAGAAAAAAAAAAGGTTTCCAACTGCATAAGGAACCGCGAAGCAGCCTCCCAGTTAGTAAGCAGTTCACTTCTGAGACGCGAGACTCGCGTTTGACTCAAAGCTCTGGCGACTCTGCTGCAGAGAAGAGCCTACGGAGTCCCGTGTACCTGTTAACTGCCTTTCAAAAGCATCCCGCACCTGCACTTCAGGACACTCGCCAACGCCGAGGACGCGTCGCGGGAGCGCGCGCGGCCTCACAATCAGGACGCACGCTGCTGATGTCACGGCCGCGGCCCGCCTCCTGCGCCGGGAAAGAAGCAGCTGTCTATTGGCTGGGCCTCCGGCGTCCTCGGGACCAATCACAGGACGCCGAGCAGTAAGGTCCAGTCCCTGACGTTGTGCGGTCGCCGCGGGGTTTATTTAGCTCTAGGGTCC